AATCAAATAAATAAAATAAAAATAAATAAAATAAATAAAATTTCTAGCCTCTTCCTTTAACTACACCAAACTGTCTCAATTAGCCACGCTTAAGGAATATAGAAAGCAAAGGTCTTTCAGTCTTCCTGCCCCAAGTCCCAAAGTACAGTTTTAACAAATGTGACATACACACACACATGTGATTTTAACCCCATTTATTCAAATTCTGTGCTAAAAATTATTAAAATATTTGTCAATGACAGAATTTCATTTTTTGATTTTCCAGAAACCTTTAGGTCATCTATATAAATCAAAGCTGAGATTTTATTAGTACTTTTTGGTGTTTGATACATTTCTTTTTTCAAAATTGCTGAAAGTGGGATCATAGCAATGACACATAAGGGTTGATAATGAGTCACCCTGGAACATGCCTCTCCTAATGTTGGTATGTTTTTTTCATTTCCAACCACCAAGTTTGTCTTCCACTGCTTCATTTTTTTCTATAAACATTTCAATTACATTAGTTGTTTCCAAACATTTGATTATTGTAAGAGAAAGACTAGCAGAGCCAGAGGGAGGAGTAAAAAGAGCTTAGAGTCATTACATAGCCACAAGCTAGCTAATTCTTTTATCCATCCAGCATTTATATTAGTTTTTAGTTGAGGTTGCTACAGAGCTTTCCAAAACTAAATTGTTTCCTATGTTCCTATGGAAAAATACTCCACTCGTCCACTCACAATAGAATTCCTTATGCCTCCAGGGGCGAAATTTTGGGCCTGGACAATCTGGAACTGTGCTGCTTGCAGTCTGATCTAGCATAGTTCGCACAATTTTCTGCTATAACATCTTGCCTGTCAAAGAATTCTTCAGCTTCAATCACAATAATACATGGACAAATAATCGATACAAACTTAAGGTAAACTGCTCCAAACTCGATTGCAGAAAAGACGACTTCAGCAACAGAGTGGTCAAAGTCTGGAATGCCCTACCAGACTCCGTTGTTACAGCCTCAACCCCTTACAGCTTCAACCTCAAACTCTACCGTGGACCTCACCCCATTCTTAAGAGGTCCTTAAAGGGGGTGTGCATAAGCGCACCAGCGTGCCAACCGTCCCTGTCTTACTGTCTCCATTTATCTGTATTTATTTCCTTTGTTCTTATTTATACTTGTTATCTTGTACATGTTTAAAAAACAAACAAAATAAAATAAAATGTCTGGTTTTCCATTTTCAGGGTTTTGGAGAGTTTATCTGTGAGTCCTGGCTGTGTCTCACTCAGAAGATTCACAGGCAGTCTTGCATAGCCTCAGGAATGCCACTGTATTGTGATCACTTTGGACAACCTTGTGTTTTTCTGGATGGCATACATTTATTTTTTTTAATTTTATTTGGTTTGTCAATTGCTTACAAGATAATAGGTATAAGTAAAAACATAGTTATGAATACATGGATACATACCCTGTTTCTCCAACAATACGGCCTCCCCCAATAGGAAGTCCCATCATGTTTTATAGGCATGAAATGAAATTAAGCCCCTCCCCCCAAATTAAGGCCTATATTAAAACATGCGAAATGGGGGGGGGGAAATGGCGGGGGGGCTTGCCGTTAGGAAGCACTTTTGTTGCACACCCAGATATGGTGCTACCTGCGTTGACCCCGATACAAAGTGCCCCACCAACGCCGAGGTCAACATCCAAGCCGTTGCCACCTGCCCGAAGATGCAAGGAGGGGGGAAATTAAGTCACCCCCGAAAAGACGGCCTAGCCATTTTTTCGGGGCTCAAAAAAAAATAAGACCCGGCCTTATTATATGAGAAACACGGTATAAGAAAAATAAAAGAAACAATAGGACAGGGACGGTAGGCACATTGGTGCGCTTATGCACGCCCCCTACAGACCTCTTAGGAAAGGGGTGAGGTCAATAGTAGAAAGTCTAAGGCTAAAGTTTTTGGAGTTTGGGGAAGAAACCACAGAGTCAGGTAGAGTATTCCAGACATTGACCACTCTATTGCTGAAGTCGTATTTCCTGCAATCAAGTTTGGTGCGATTAACCTTGAGTTTGTATCTATAGTTTGCTCTTGTATTGTTATGGATGAAGCTGAAGTATTCATTGACAGGTAGGACATTGCAGTGTATGATTTTATATACTATACTTAGATCGGACGGAAGGCGGCGTAGTTCTCGGTTTTCTAGGTCTAGAATTTCAAGTCTGGTGGCATAAGGTATTCTTCAACGAGTAGAGGAGTGGAGAACTCTTCTTGTGAAATATTTCTGGACTTTCTCAACTGAATTAATATCAGATACGTAATGTGGGTTCCAGACTGATGAGCTGTATTCGAGTATTAGTCTAGCAAATGTTTTGTATGCTCTAGTTAGTAGTGTAATATTACCAGAGAAAAAACTACGTAAGATTAGGTTAACAACTCTTAATGCCTTTTTGGCTATGTAGTTACAGTGGGCTCTAGCACTTAGATCATTAGAGATGAGTACTCCAAGGTCCTTGACAGAGTTTGGATCCTCAACAAGGTCTTGACTATTCAGCCTGTATTTTATTTTCTGATTTTTTTTTGCCAATATGTAAGACAGAGCATTTATTTGTTGAGATTTGAAGTTGCCATTTGTTTGACCATTCTGATATATAGTTGAGGTCTTTTTGAAGGGTAGCAGTATTGTCTGTGGTGTTGAATAGCTTTAAATCGTCAGCGAAGAGATATATTCGGGACACAGTAATTTGTCTCATTGAGTCTGACATTCTTATAATCTTTTGCTTTCCCAAATTCCTTGTTTGATATTTCTTACAGCAAAATGGGTGCGTAGAATTGAACAGTATAATTTCGTATTACAGGAAAGCGGGGAATGGCATTATTAAATATTCTTATATATTTTAAAAACAGAAGTTTCATAGAGGTAGAAAGTAGCACAGCAGGACAATTGTGCAGCAGAAAACAGAGATAAAGGTGGAGAAGAAATAATTAGCATCTAATAGAGACAATAAAAAGTCTCATTTTGAGAAAAAGACGAGTAGGACAAATGCTCAAAATAACCCCCACCTTCGTTCTGTATGGTATAAGAATATTTCCCTTTCAAGACTGTCATGGAGTGTGCCTTGCAATGAGTTAAGGGTAATGCTCTGGGTCATTGGCTGATTTGTAGTAAATAGGTTGTTAATAAACATATAATGGGGACAAGCTGCATAATCCAATTGATCTTACATTTCTTTGTTTCAAAATTGAATTGACTTGTTCTAACTCCATTGGTAAAAAAGGTATCCCAAGAAAAGCTGTAGAAATATCTGGGATAGGGTTGTTGTTTTTTTTTTACTAGATGGAGTAAAAAATGTCTACTATAATTAAAGGGACAAATCCAACTGGATCATGTAATCATTTCAGCCAGCAGTTACAATTATAATCGAAAGGCCAGGTTCTAGTGACTTCTGCTTCTTTCTACAGCACTGTATTTGGGACACAATGTGAGACCTGGAAAATCTGTCTCGAAAATTTGGATTGGACTTTCTCTTTTATTGCTTGCTGTCTTGCTGTATGAACCCAATTGAATCCACTGCAATAATTCGGTGCAAGCCTTAACTGTAAAGTACTTAACAACAGTTGGAATGAGCTATCTTATTTTGAGTAAAATAGCAAGCTTTTATAGCCGAGTCCAATTGCTGCCCTTTGGGATATGTAGAAAGGGCATTTTAGGCTCCAGAAGTTTGAAAAACCTAAATATTTAAAAGTTCTGATTTGTTTGATGGTGTGTCCTCCTATTTGCCAGTTCTGTACCTTGTGAATGGAAAATACAGATACTTTAGATTTGGAATACTTTATCACAAGGTTCTCATTATTAGAACAAAGCTACCACATCATTACCATAGAATAGTAATTTCATACACCATTAGCCCAGTGTAGGAGGATGAAAGTGTAGGCTGTTTAAACTAGCCACAAGTGAATTTATGTATACATTAAACCATGCTGGAGGTACACACAATTCTGTTTTACTCCTGTACTCATTGGTATTTGTTTGGTTTTATGTTGTTGGTCACTGCAACTGACTTTCATTCTTGCATTATACATTCTAGATTAGTAGAAGCAGACATTTATCGATTGTGCTAGTTTTAAGTTTGTGCCACGGTCTAATCGTAAAAATCAAGTTGAATGCACCCTTAAAATCAGTGAAAAGCACAAAGGCAGATGTTGCAGCACCATGGTATGGTCCCTAATATAAATCTTTTTTTTAAAGTTTTTTATTTTGTAACAAAGATAAAGACAAACAAATAAAACCATCTTTCAACAGTGTGTCGATTGGATGCATATCTCTTGTGCTCATAATCATATCATACATTTCTTGTTTATATTTATAACCATTCTAATCAATATTTTATATCACATTTATCAATTGTTATATTATTATTAGCAATTATTGTCTTTCAAGAATATATTTCATCTTTATTTAAATTATATTCATTTTCTTAATCTAATTCAATCAATTATAATATACTATTATTACATATTTCAATTTCTAATATAAATCTGCCTTCCCGAAACTCTGCAGAATAGATTAAGACTGAGGGCAGTCTGTGGAAGTTCAACTGCAGGTATATTATATCAATATAGAACTAGCAGGAAGGGGATAGAGGTGAAATTAAGATGAAAATACAGAAGCACCTTTTTACAGGTACTCCCCAGCACATTTTATAAATGTCTTTTTAGTTAGCAATTACTTTTATTTCAGTTTATTTTGTTTTATATTCCTTTCTGCTCTGCTTCTCCACTGAGCTGAAGGGAGAATCCAGGATGGGTAGTCTCTAGTCTCCTAGCTCTGCAGACCGAATTGAAAAACTGAGGACGTACCCCCTGGTAACGGCCTCCATTCTTCACTCGGTCTCACTGACCAAACATAGGCAAGGAGAGAGGCAAAGGGTTTCATAATCTGTTATTCAGATATTTTGAATGGAACTTCTTGGGAATAAAAATACTAAACCAATATTTAATACATTGTTTTGACTGTCATTTGTTTCTGTTTTTAGATAACAACTCTGATTAACCATAAGGATAAACCAAAGAAGTCGGATAAGACATTGAAAGCAGTCCAACAGGTGGGCCAAGCGGTTAAACTAGCTGTTGGAAAATTTGTCATGGTGGGTGAAGCCATAGCCAATGAAAACCAAGAGCTGAAAGAAGAAATGAAGGCAGCCTGCACTGAAGCGAAGCAAGCAGGTAGGTGAAGGTTTATGAACCTGAGAAGCAGGGCATCATTTGCAATAAAAATACCAGCTGCCCTCTATACTGTTGGATTTAGTGAATTTACCTGCAACAGAGACTTGCATTTTAATCTCTTAAATGTTTGGAGAAATACCACAGGATATTATTTTAGATCAGATATCTCCAGTTTTATTGAAATCGTATTACCTCCTACTGTTGACCTCAGTCAGTAGGGAAGCATTAACACAAAGAAACTCTGGAATAGTCATGGTTCTCAAAAAATCTCTGCTGTGATTTAAAACAGTAACTTTAATTATGAATTTGTTGTTATTTGGAGCATGAATTACAGTTCCTAATGTCTCAGAATGTTGGGTGATGTGAGATAGGCATATTCTAGAAGATGCTTCATGCTTAAAATGGGACCAAATTCTTTTCAGTGAGGATCATTTGGTGATTACAACAGGCTTCTTTCTCAAAATAAGAAAGTTTACAGAAGAATTAATTGATAGGGCGATTAAAAAAGGTGCACCACCATTCTCCATATTTTGTCAGCATAAGAATGAGTAAATAAGATATATAGGTAGTCCTTGACTTACAACAGTTCATTTAATGACCTTTTGAAGTTACAATGGCATTGAAAAAAGTGACTTATGATAATTTTTCACACCTGCGACCATTGCAGCATCCTCTTAATCACATGATCAAACTTCATTGCTTGGCAACTGGCTCATATTTATGATGGTTGCAGTGTCCTGGGATCATGTCATTTTTTACGACTTTCTGATAAGCAAAGTCAATGAGGAAGCCACATTCACTTAACAACTAACTATTACTAACTTAACAGTTGCAGTGATTCACTTAACAACTGTTGCAAGAAAGGGCAAAATTCACTTAAACAGTCTCATAGAGCAGCTGAAATTTTGGGCTCAATTGTGGTTGTACGTCAAGGACTATGTATGTATATTAAAGAGATTTATATTATGTGTTCTACTCAGTAAATTTCCATACTTCATAATGCTGTAACATGAGTTTCCTTGGTCCCCAAATCATAGTCATTGAAGAAGATTATGAAAACTAAAGCAGTGACATTACATACTGTAGTATATTTTAGATTATTACCGTATTTGCTGGCGTATAAAACGACCCCCCAACATTTCCACTCAAAATATAGTTTGTTATATACTCGCCGTATAAGACGACCCCCCCACTTGGAGGCATGTTTTTCAGGGCAAAAAAGTCATCTTATACGCCGGCAAATACTGTAGTTATTTTGATATTATGCATATAAATTCGTATTTACATGTGTCTGTCTATCATTTACCACTAAGACACTGTGTAAGCAACATACTTACTCTGCTTTACAGCAGTAAAACTAAACTGAGTAAAAAAAATTGAGTAAAACTATATGACCAATTCAAACATCCAGGGTAAATTTCATTTAAATTAAAAAAGTAAACAGATAACAGATATTCAGAGTTGGAAGGGACCTTGTAGGTCATCTAGTCCAACCCACCCACCCCCGCCCAAGTGGGAGACCCTACATCATTTCTGACAAATGGCAGTCCAATCTCTTCTTGAAGGTCTCAAGTGATGGTGCTCCCACAACTTCCGAGGGAAAGCTGTTCCATTGGTTGATTGTTCTCCCTGTCAGAAAGTTTCTCCTTATTTCCAATCTCTCCTTGTTAGTTTCCATCCCTTATTCCTTGTCTGGCCTACAGGCGCTTTAGAAAATAGCTTGACCCCCTCCTCCCTGTGGCAGCCCCTCAGAGCACTATCATGTATAAACAAAATATACAACTAAATGTAGAAGTATAGAAAATGAAATACAAAATATGGAACACAACAATTACATTTATTTAAAATGTGGATAATTAACTAATCATCCAATATTTACACAGTGTGTATGTTATTCTGTGTTGGGAGTGAAGGATGTTTGAACTCTCTTAGATGGACTGTCTAAAGGAGCGTGTCTCGGAGTAGGCAGGCGTTACTCCAGAACCCTGGCCCTTCCCGGCGGAGTCCCTCGGGTGTTCCCGCAACAGAGTCCTCTTGCAACGCGTCCGCTAGGTCAGCCAAACGATCCCGGTGGGGTCACCGGAAACGCCCTCCAGAAATCCCCGGGGCTGCAGCGGCAGGGCGGAGTGCCAGGGGCTGTGGGAGGAGCAGGAAGGCGGGCAGCCTTCACATGGCCCTGCCTAGGGCGACAGGAGCGACCCACGCTCTCGCTCCCCCCAGTCGCTGCAGCCTTGGGCAGAGTGAGGCGAGCGGCATTCGAACCTGATTCAGAGACGCGGGGAGGCTCTTGGCGGAAGCGACGCGGGGGATCCGGGAAGCCAGAGGCGCCTTCGCTGCGTCCCACAAGCATCCGAAAGCCGGCAGTGGATATACCGTATTTGCCGGCGTATAAGACGACCCCCCCACTTGGAGGCATGTTTTTCAGGGCAAAAAAGTCATCTTATACGCCGGCAAATATGGTAGTTATTATGGTCAAAGAATAGCTAGGGATCTAATTTCCAGAAAATGTGGTTTCAGCCTCAAAGATGAGCAAAGGGCTTTTAAGGAAAGAACGCACTATGACACTATAGAAGCTTTGTTTTTATTTATTAAACTTATTGTTATAAACCATTAGTTACAAATGTTTTAAAATAAAGATGAACAAGCTTACTTCCTTCTAGAACATAAGCAACGTCCTACTGTATCCAACAGTAGCGCATTAAGTCCGGCAGTCTCTTTTCATAGGGGTCCCCCATTCTGCAAGGAAACCCATTAGATTCCAGCAAGGGGGCCTTCAGAGGCAGTTACACTGCCATCAAGGCTAATCACTATTATCCCCCTGATTGCCCTGAATTGGCCCAACACTTTTTTGAATCCAGCCAAGCTGGTAGCCAGCATCACATCTTGTGGTAACTATCGCCACCATCACATGCTAAAGATAATGCATAGAATTTTAAATTCTCTTGCTGCACCACTTATGTTGATCTATTCTCTTTTGTAAAATACGGTTTTTACCAGTTGATTGTGTTTCGGAGCAAGGCTGAACTAACTACTTTCTGCTTATAGGTGAGACCATTGCACAGCTCACAGACATTGCAACCTTGGATCGTCCAGAATCTGATGGCCAGATAACAATTTTTACAGACAAAACAGGAGTGATAAAGGCTGCAAGGCTCTTGCTTTCCTCAGTTACAAAAGTATTGGTTTTGGCTGACATAATAATTATTAAGCAAATTATAGCTTCTAGAAACAAGGTAATTATGATTTTATGAACAGTGATTGCATACAGTTTTATATTGTATATTATGGAAGTGATAATTTAATATTTTTAACTGGCATTGGAGTTCAGTCCAAGGTCATTGTATGTGTGTGTTTGTCTTTGTGTATGTACATACATTTTCTTATTAATAGGAAACCTAAGTGCTAAACTTTAGCCAGATAATACATTATAGATATGTATAGCCATTATGGGAGCAATAAATAAGCCTTTCATCCAGTAATACATGAAGTTAAACTGCATTGTGTATTGAAAGAGTACATAAATCTTGACTGTATGGGCCACGCAGAATTGCTTGCATCTAAAAATAGAAAACAAGAACTGATTTTGAAAAATTCTAAATTTGTCTTGTCAGTAATCTATCATTCATGGTTTCTTTTCAACATATTTGACAGGTCCTTATGACAATGGATCAATTAGAGAAAGTGAGCAGTTTTCAGGAATTTGTGCAAATATTCAGTCAGTTTGGAAATGAAATGGTGGAATTTGCCCATTTAACTGGAGAGCGACAAAATGTAAGTGCTACATAAAAGTATCCGTTCAATGTTTTGTAGAAAGCATTACAAAAATTACTTCATTCTCAATTCTGGCTCCTTCAGAAAAAATAGTCACCTGGTTAAAAACTTACAATTGGTGTTTATGATGTGTGCATCCAACCTGGAATTTATTGTAAGACATAAAAGTACTTTGGATCAGTGAGATCCCATCTGAGCTGTCACGGTAAAAGGCAGAATACCACTGACTTTAGTAATACTAGGGACTTTTAGTCTCAGCATCTGTCCTAATTGAGCCACAGCAGGAGTGTTTCCTCCCAACTGTGAAGTACTGGCAATCTTGGATGACCCAACATTTGCAAAAGTACGAAAGGAAAAAATAAAGCAGAAATATGCTGGGAAACTGCCATTGTTAAATAAAAAACAAAACCTCCAAAATAGCCTGAGTAGTATCGAATGCTGACTGACCATCAGTGGGAAAATGTTCATAAATAGATTGCGGGGTCAGCAGAAATTCTTCCCCAGCATGTAGACCATAGTGAGAAGTCTGCAAGTAGCTTCCCACTTAAGCACTTAAGACTGCCTGCCAGAATTTGCCACCAAATTACTATAATGAAGAAAACCACCTTGATTTTTGTGGCAAAATGAAATGGTTCTGACAGGCATAAGACACTAATGTTACTTAAGCAAAGAGAAAGCCCCTGCATCTAGTTCTAAAAAGGTGGGGAAATGATGTTCTAAATCAGGGGTGTCCAACCTTGGCAACTTTAAGACTTGTGGACTTCAACTCCCAGAATTCCTCAGCCAGCTTTGCTGGCTGAGGAAT